GACTCTTACGCTTCTTTCGTACACTCAATAGTGTACGCTGTGGTGTTTGCCATTTGTTAAAAGGTACTAAGTAAGGGACTAACGTACGGACTCGAAGTCCCAACGAGTTCAGCCCCCATGAGTATATACTAATATACTATATGCTAGTTTTATACTAAAACATATGTAAACAAAAACAATAATCAACAACAGTTCTTTCTGTTAATTGAGTGACAGTGTGGGCAGAGTGTTTTCCATGTTTGAATTCTAGATGTGTCAAAATTAGCGATAAATTTGTTAAAGAAATAGTTAGATAGACGGTCTTTAAAGGTAGAAAGAGCTATAGTTTCACGAATATCTAACGAAATATTGTTCCATAAGGAAACAATTTCTTAATCCAAGTTAAGTTACTTCTATAAGATTCTACGACAACTGAAAACAATCGGTTATGGCAGAACGTGCACTTCTATGCAGGTGAAGTTAACAACCCTTTCAAATGTTTTCAGTCCTCAACTATTTGTGTCCATCTGGATGGATGACAAATGGATCATTCTGTTACAAGTTGATGTCGCAGAGGTAGGAACCAATGTAAGATTGGTACTGTAGCAACAAATAGGGGAGAATTTTGTCCGTTTTCAATTTTGACTGATGTACGTGTAACTGATTCCTAAAATGTAGCGTGATGTACTGGAGGTGGGCTTGAAGACCTAAGTGATGGTCCAGTCAGTCCAGCCATAACTGGGTAGATGTCAAATTTCAAAAGAACTGGAGGTGTTAGGATGAAATCAAGTGATTATCGAAGGAAAAACATTTTTTTTTTTCAAATACGTTTTGCTAATCTTCCCTTCTTATCATCACAGCAAAACGTGGACTGATGCCAGAGACACCTGTAGATCATTCGCCGCAAACTCAGATTTGGTGAGCGTTCACAGTACGGCGGAGAATGAAATTGTGGCCAGTCTGTTCAATGGTTCACTTTATGCAGCTTGGATTGGACTGAGTGATCGTGGTGTGTTATATGGTACGTTATCTTTTTTTACCTTTTTAGGTAATCTACTTTTTTTAATGTAGTTCTAAGAAACGTGGTCTTCGAAATAGGATCGCTTACTTATCAAAACGCGATTCAGCCACAGTATCTCGGCTCCGGTTTGTTTCCTCGCCTTTGGATGAAACATTGACGTAGCTAAGTAAACCTTTCCTCTAATTAGAAACATTTGTAGATCACCTTGCCGGAGCTCAGTGATTATAGTAATATCTGTATTTCCATTGATCGATCGACAAACTCTGGAATGATTCTTGAATGTTTCATTTTTCTGAACTGGTCACCGAGGTAAAGTGAAACCAGTTTAATCCCGATTGACTTTTGATAAGAAATTTGAAGGTATTCTAAAAGCCAATTGTAATGGTGATCTTTTGGCACGATAAATTCCTTTCATCGCAAATCGACTGAACAACTCAGTTGAGTGCACCATGGTTATTAGATGTCAGTTTTTCACTTCCTTTTCTCGAATCCATTCACCTTTAATCCGCTATCTCCCGCAAGCAATGTTGGGGCTTCTATTTAACTGTGTTTCCTTGGTCTGCAGGTTATGCTTGGAGCGACAAAACGCCCGTGCAGTTCACAAAATGGAACGTTCAGCAGCCTGACAGTCACCAAGGACAGCAGCCCTGTGTGGAGATGTATTCTACAGGAGAATGGGGGGACACTGGATGCTACTCTGTAAAGCAATTCATCTGCAAGATGCCACGATGTAAGTGCAGTATATATATCTTATTAACCAAGCGCGAGGGCCGTACTGGGAGAATATCAGCCCGAGGTCTTGACAGTACGGACCGAGCGCAGCGAGGTCCGTACAAAAAAGACCGAGGGCCGATATTCTTCCAGTACGGTCCTGAGCAAGCTTGGTTAATAAGAGATTTATTACACGACTGAAGTTCAAAGGGCCACAAGTGCGGTATCATTCGGGACCATTCGGGACAGTGCCCGGTCCAATACTGAGAGAATGTTGACCGGCAATAGAGCATTTTGATTGGTTGATTTTAGTTATTGGCCCTCTGACTTCCCGAGTCGTGTATTAATCAACGTTATTTTACAGAGTAGCCGTTTCTAACAAAGACCATTTTGAAGCTTTTATATTATTTCAGGTATGAAAAGTGGGACTGCTCGATTAGTATTACTTTCTTTATCTTAAGAGTGTTTGAGTTGATTAATTTTAAGCTAGCAGTTTATAAGTAAACCCTGCTATGATGCTAACAGCAGCTCCATAGTTTCTACCTTTACATTCAATTTGTTTCAACTATAAATACGTTTGACAGAGGACAATAACTTGCGCAATTGCATGGGTTGATGTGTTTAATTGCAAACTCTTTCTTCCTTTCAAGTATTTTACCAAGTCAACGGGCTACTTTCACTGGTACACAGATGAAATGAGCCTTGTCGCCAACTTTTTTGCAGCACTAATACTACCTTCAAATTGAAGGCGAAAACATTAAAGGGCAATAAATATTCAATTATGGATTACTAAGGATGGGGAATCCTATGTAAATCGTAATCAAATCGTGTATTGATAAAATGAGTCTGAATCCCTTCTACGTCGCTCGTTGATTTGCTGTGTTTTGTTTATTTGTTTATGCACATACTTCAATCTTTTTGTTTTGCTGATTGTTTGTTTTCTTTACTTTATTTCTTCTATTTTTGTTTCGTTTTTTCTCTTTTTTGTTTTGTTATTGTTGCTGTTGCTGTTGTGTCGTTCGTTGTTGTTGTTGCTGTTTTTGCTGCATTTTGGTGATTTGAAGAAAGTTAGTTAAAATGGCCACATACGCCTGGTAAATGTTTCATTCCATCACACTTTGCTGTTTCATCAACAGCGGATAATAAGCCGTCAGCGAAAGTCACTCCAACCACACCTGTTAACCAAAGTAAGTTCTTGAGTTTACCGTGGTTCATATGAAAAGTTAACGTTATGGTTAGGTCTGAATTCCAGTTTCTCTAGCCCAAAGTGACCAAGAAATTGCTACCCCTCCTGAACTAGTTCAGTGCAGATACTCAAACCCATCACACAGTGACTTGCAATTAACCTTTCGAGTCACGACTATTCCACACTAATTGTGTTTTTCCCCCTTGATTTTCCGTAAGAAGAAAGTTGTCGAAGTCAGTTGTAACGAGGTAGTTTTCTTTTAACAGCTTCAGGCATTTGCCCTGAGAATTGGACTTTGTGGAATACAATGTGTTACTATTTTGCAAATGAGTCCCAGTCAAGCTTAGTCACGTGGCGTGTCGCTCGGCAGGCGTGTCAAAAGGAAGTTGGAGGAGACCTTGTTAGTATTTTAAATGCTGCGGAGAATAACTTTATAAAATCTCAAATCTCAGGGTAGGTGTACTTTGACTTATTTTCAGAAATGTATTCAAATTATGAGGTAAACCTAAAATGCTGGAATCAAGAAAGTGTCCGTTTGTTTACAATGTGCCTAGGGCGTCCAAAGCAAATTAAAACTTATGGTGGTCAAGTTACCAAGCTCCGTCACCGCATTTTTACCCACAAGCAACCCTATCGTCTTATCAAACTTGCAAACTGTCTCTTCATTAATTTTGCGCCTGTTCTACGCTCGTTTCATTAAATAAAAATATATATATTAAATCGACAACGGCCGCGTAAGGGAGGTGGCCACTTAGGAGACGGTTCAATTATGGCAAGTGTACCAAAAAATGAGTTTGATAGTCGTCTAGAAGAGACGATGGTTAGCAATATTTGGTAGCTCGCATACTTTTAACTGAATTTCACCACAAAGTGATGCAACGTTAATTTACACTTCATCTTACTCAAAATATTAATTTTCATCACAATGTCTGTTTATCATTTTCAAGCAGAAAAGTGACGAGAAGTAAGAAAAAATATGCGAAAAGGTCTTAATCGGGTTAACTGTTAGCCGCAAAACGGCCGGATTAAACGTAAATTTTTTATCAGGTGAACACAATGGAAAGATTTCAACTTTACCGTTAATTACCGTAAGCTGTAATGGCCAAAACACTAACCGTTAGCCGTAGCCATTACCCCATAAGACCTTTATGCAAGGAATTTTCCGATTTCACACCAAAACCGTAGATCTTCAATTATAAGAACTGTGTGGCAGATAATATGACAAACACTGTGGAGAACTGATATTCACGATCTTAAGCGCGAAAGGGTTAGCCTCACCGCCTTTGAATGTGCATCTACTTTATGAGTTAATTTTGTTCATTTTAAAGGCATAGTAGTAATTCCCTTTGGATTGGACTCAACGATCTTGGAACAGAAAGCAGCTACCAGTGGAGCGACGGGTCGCCAGTAGTCTACAGAAACTATGGATGGAAGGAACCGAATGATTATTACGGTCAGGAAGACTGTATGGAAATCAACAAGGCTGGTTATTGGAACGACCATCATTGCAGTGTCCTGCGGCCGTACATCTGCAAAAAGGCTAATAGTGAGTTGCCCAGTTTTCACAAGTTGTCATTTTATGGTGCATGTGTAAGGAAGAGAGAGAAATCTAAGCGGAATTTATAAGTTAGTTTTTGTCCCATGGACAACTGCACTTTGGCCAAAGTACAGAAGGAAAAATCTTTGTAAAATGTCTTGATTTGTTCGTCCATTTTAAATTCTCTCGCTTGATTAAAAAGGAGTGAATGAAACTAGAAGTCGACTAAATTATTCTCTTTCGGGCTGTAACGATATTCGTGTGTATATATATATATATGAATTGTAACATAGCACTTCCTTGCGCTAAGCAATCTATAGATTTTATGAGCTAGATCGCAAGCAGATTGAAAATGTCTGGGTTGTGATTTGTGCCGAAAATCAGAGAATTCTTGACTCGTTATATAGCTGGTATGTAATATTAGCATTTTGCCCTAAATCCTGACGCTGAGGTTATTTTGAGCTTGTTCAACGCCTTTATTCATTGTTGTTCTTCGTGATGTTTTTGACGATACGGCAGGCAGATGTATTATGTCATGATTTGTGCCCAAGAATTTTGAATTTCTCACTCATCTTGTGTGCATGTGCCTTGAGGAGAAGATTGGAAAGATTGCAATATTCCCAATGTGTGTGTTCAAACGATCCCAAGAGCAATTCTACACAGACCATAATTTATGCTAATCACATTTTTTTCCTTACAGATTCCAGAATACCAGTTCTGCCTACGTTCCCCACACAACAACCGCGTCCTGAACCAAGTAAGTATTTCTGACAACAGTTACTGCTGTTGTGTATGTTTTTCTCTTCATCAGTGTTTTCACTTCGCCATTGCAAGAGTCAAGCCGCTTGTTTACCAAGGTTTGGTGTTCATGCGTCGTTAAATCCCAAAAGATCGAAATGTCATCGTTTTCTGGCCGTCTCACTTTTTGGTCAAAGAAAGATCTCTAAAAATCTCCGGTCCTTCGGCGGGAGTCAAGTCGAAAAATTCAGGGGCGTGTGGAACATCATGCGCAGTAAGGAGATACATTGCAGTAGAAAGAGATACCCTCACTGATTCTCGTTTTCTGTGATTAAGCTCATGGCAGATGTAAGGACGGCTGGGTAAACTATGACAAGCGCTGCTACCGCATTGTGTCAGATCCTCAGCTGTCTTGGGAGAACGCAAGGGATGCATGTCGAAACGGACTGAATATGAACGGAGACCTTGTTACTGTGAATGATCAGTAAGTACGATGTACTTGTGTAAAGGTAATGACTGAATTTCAATTGGTTTCGTTGAAAAAAACAAAACAAACAAACAAACAGACAACCAAACAAAATTGAAACTGGTGAAAAATTGACCGTCAAGCGGAGATACACCAGATCGAAAGTAACTGTAGCTATTTCACTTTGTAGATACGAACAGGCATTTTTGACAACTATGCTGTTGGGAAAGAACGATAATTTTTGGATTGGCTTTAATGACAAGCACGTGGAAGGCAGTTTCTTTTGGACAGATAATAGTCCTCGTAAATTTACTAACTGGAATGCCAATGAACCAACGGGCTACGGCTGGAACAAGGATTGCGTCGACATGACCCCCGCTGGAGAGGCGGGGCGATGGGGAACTGCGCAGTGCGATCAGATAAAAGGGTTCATTTGTGAAACAGGTTTGTAATGAATTGGAAACTAATTCATTTAGAGTAACAAACAAAATGGGCGATTTTCCACTGAAAATGTGCAAACAAAACACTTATCTCTCCCGAGTTTTGGCCCAGTGTTCTGTGGCTCAACCTTTTGACACCAAAAATATAGTCCTCCTCGAAAGATCAACGCATTTTAAAGCAGAAAAGTGGTTTTAAGAAAGGTCAATATCAACTAGGGGAACTTTGATGCTACACTTAATTCTCAAAGTTAATTGTTCGATACACAGTTACAAACGAACTGGTATTTGGAGATTAAAAAAAAAATGAGGATACGAGTATTTGTGGTTGGTTTTGTTCGTCTTCACGTGGAAACACAAAAGGATTATTACATGTGTGAGAGGCTAGTGAGTCCAGAACAATGGCAACTCAAATTGGTCGCCATATTTGCATTCGGTGTATGTAAACCACTAAGATCAGTCGTGGATTTCTTGGAAGGGAAGAGTAGTGAAGAGAAGAGGTGAGATCTTGGGGAGTGATCATCTAAATAAAAATTGGTGTTATTTACCTCCTTTGCTCACATGTGCTGATTCAGATTTATATTTTTTTCGTAGGAGCTGATCAAATCTCAACGACTGGTGAGCTTGTGGACAACCTATCTTTTTCGTGTGGTCGTATGAAGAAAAGCGGATCAACTTTAATAACAACAGACTTTGTAATCCGTTCGAAAGATAACCCTTTATGGCCAATTTCAAATAATGACGGAAACAGCCTAAAATCGCAGTATTTTCCGAAGTTTCCTACTACCCCACTAGCGGCAAATTTAAACGAAGCAGTTAATCCCCCCCTCTTTACGGGTAATAAGCCGTTAACTTCTATAATCTGTCGGATAGAGAATCCTGCAGATTATTATGGGAAACGAACTTGGTCATCAAATGATTAGGAGAAAAAAATATTGAACTCTGTTATTGTAAAATGTCATGACTTGTGAGTGTTTCGCAGATCAACTTTTTGTGTTAACCTCCCTCTTTGGCAAAGACTTGAACTGCTTTCCTCTGACAAACCAAAATAGTTTGTCCAACCTCTCTACATGATACGAAATATTGAAACCGATTAAAACAGCCAGGTAATGTTTTAAATTTGGAAACATCGAAATGATAGAGAATTCGACTGTCGAATTTGAACAAAGACTAGACCTCGTGCAACCTGTACACTTATCCCCAGTTTTTAGGGAATGGGTATTGGTTCTAGGTAGATTGCTTGCTTAGTGGAACTCATAGATAGTTTTTAGCTGTAGAGATTTTCATGTTATTAATGATTGTGACATCTATTTGTTCTGCAGTTACACCCAATCACATGACTTGTCCTCCAGGGCATGTTCCCTTTGGTGACGACTGCTTTTATGTGTCTTACGTCCGGCTGAGCTGGAAGGAAGCACTTCGGTTCTGCCGCAGAAATGATAGCGATTTGATGAGCGTGCACAGTTCATTTGAACAGGGTAAAGCAGTTCTTTCTAAATTGTCAACATTTCTACAACTTGTTTTCGACTGAGAGCCTACCTTGCAAAATTGATCAACATTCGCTATTGGAAAGTGACGCTAGAATATGTGTGTTTCGTTTAAGACTGCGGAGATCCATGTGAAAGAAAACGATGTAGCACATCCGACAATGCAAATTGACCGATCACGGTGCGCTTAGTGATTGAGAGGTACTGAAAGAAACAATTACATGTACATGGAAGCTCATCACATGTTTTCCTTTGCAGCGTTTGTTGTGATGAATTTAAAGAATTACCGAGGAGGCTTTTGGCTTGGTCTCTCTCGTGAAGCTAATTCTCAAGACTTCGAGTGGAGTGAACATTCATTGAAAAGCTATACGAACTGGGCTGCGAAGCAACCAGATGCTCCGTATGACCAGAAAACATGCGTTGTCGCTAAGAATTCAGATGCCAATGCTGGAGGTTGGAGTGACGTCAATTGCTCGGACACAAATGGATTTATCTGCAGAATACGAAGAGGTAAAATTACTAGAATTAATTTCATTGATACAGACTTTTCTTATGCGATTCTCTGAGGTTAGTTGGCAAGTGCTTGCAGCTCATAGATGTTTACTATTTTTCGGGATTTTAAGTCGTTTTTCTCTCGGTTTGCAGAGATGAATACGGAATAGTGAGAATGGAAATCCAACCAGACAAACTGCACATGTAAAACAAGAGCTTATAAAGTAGTACTTTTCTTTGTTTCTTTTTTTTTAACTGCTGTATTGAACGCTTCAACTTGCGGTCGTAATTGTTTTGAAAAAAAAAAAAAAAACCTACTAAGCGGCCAAGTTTGCAACGAAACTCGCCGATGAGGGGGTGACGTAACACGAATTTTGAGGACAGACGCATGATGGCGTCACCATCAACATCATTTTGCTTTGAATTGTACAGTAATAGAACACAGATGACGTCAGCCTGCGTTTCACGTAAAATGGCGTGAGTCTTGCTGCTTTAGCTTCGCGTGAACTTACGCACGTCATGTTGGAATTAAAGGCGCCCTTGTATGACTCAAAGGAATAGTTTTGGTGCCCTTTTTCTGGCAAGTCACTTTTACTCTGTGAGAAAAAGTGAAGAAAATCTTGCGCACACGGCATAGACGAAACAGGTTACTTTCACGTAGAAACGGCAAAGCGCAACCGGTTGACGAGAAAAATGGCGTGAAGAACGAGGTCACGTGGTCACTCCTGCCTTTCGCGTTTCTCTCCGTTACTGGACAGACGCACGGCTACATGGACTCTATTTATAAAGCTGAAATGAGACAATCATTTTCCTCCGATTGTCTTTTTCTTGTGGTGAATGATGGTTTTTACTTCTGGCGACTATTTTATGATTTCAGGTCGCAAAATGGCGACCTCGAATAACACTTGGGCTTCCATTTTACTTAATGATTTATAATATCTTTTTGATTTTCAATTTTTGATTACGTTACTTTTCAAATTGTTACTTGCAGGCGAACCACATGTGTCACCTCCATGTAAGTATTTCACAGTTAGCGTTTCGTCACAATCCTTGGAGTCCTAAGCGTGACTAGTATCTGACTTCTTCCTAAAATATTACTCGTGTAATCCCCCGCGTTAAGCGTATATGCCTCTGGGGAAAACAATGAAAAACATGTTTAAATAAATAAATAATAGATCAATAGATAAATAGATAAATATATGTATATAAGTTGACTTGGAAAAATACAGAAAGTACGCTTTCACCCTACAAGCCTGTTTCGTGATTGCTCACTCATTAGGGGATTTTATTCATAAGAATATTCGTAACCATCGTTTATATACTAAAAAAATTTGCATAAAGAGGCGTGGCGGTCAATTTAAATGCTTTGTTCAGTTATTACGCAGTAACGCTTTGTTTCTGTGGCGGCATGAGGACACAACTTCGTTACGTTTAATGAGAGATGATAATTCAGCTTGGCAGATGATAAGCAGTTTTTCTTTCAGGCAGAGGGGGGGGGTTGCACCTTTTACTTGCGCTGTTTTAGGGTGATCTTGCTGAAAGGATGTGCCATGAAATAAAGTTGGTCAGCGTTATTTTCTTTAAGAGTCTAGATATGTTTGCTGAGTTCAGTAGATTTTCTGTGTTTTATGTGTCGGAATGATGCGTTGTGGTTTTCTGCGTCTAGTTATAAAGTCGTTTTCTGCGAGTCCGATGTATGTTTCATTAATGCTGTTGTACTTTCGTGTGACGGTGGCTTGGTATCAACTCAACATTATCAAACAGTACAATTCCTAGATAACGTATTTCCTTAATTAGGAGCCCAAGCGCTTAGTTAAAAATTCGGCCAAAACTAGGGGCTTTTATTCGTAGGAGTGTGCTGAATCTATCGGTAATATCCTTACTTTTATTCTCTCTCTTCTTTTGAATCGCCTCATTGAATAAAATCTTGTATTCTGATTGGTTACCGAAGCGAGGTATTTAGCGTGGAATTTCGAGTTGAAAACGAGGCTAAGTGATATCGTTTCGCATCTACGTAAACATAACAATTTTAATTAATGCTCTTTCCTTTTTTACTCATTTTTATTCAGTCATGCGATTCAAGGAAAATCCATTACTTCACTCGTAAATTCCGCGTTAAATTGCACGCGAAAGCCGATATCGCACTCATCGCTTCGCGATTCGTGCGATATCGGTTTTCGCGTGCAATTTAATGCGGAATTCCCTCGTCAAGTAATGAATTTTTCTATAGTATTCTGTGATTGCATAACAACGAATAATGGAAAGCAGTTGGGGTATTGTAGCAAAGCGCACTTCCTCAAGAAAAATCCTTATAAAAGCTAATTTGTGGATGGTTTATTCAGAACACCATTTTCAAGGGGGAATCTTCGCGATTCTTGGCTCTCGGTGTGAGCATAACTATGGTGTGAGACGATGAGTACAAGAGAGGACCTGGGTACAATTGGGTTGCCCCCCTCCCATGTCCTTTTTTGCTCGTTTCCACTAGCCGGGAGGCCTGTCGTTGGCTTGACTACCCGGGCCGATCTAAGCATTTAAAAAAGATCAACACGCAGGTGTCTCCGAGATTCTTAATACGGTTGGGTATGTCAAAATGGCATATTTGATGTTGATTAGATTTTTCAGCAGTGGTCCTAAACCAGATCGCTTATGGAATGGGGGAGGGGAGGCACTTTTTTCGAGAAATAGGGAAGGCGTATGCTCTGTTGGAGGCCTTAGCCTCTTCTTGGAGTAGGCATTTGGACTTTGTATATCTCAGAGTAGATTTTCTTTGACATTCCAAAAGATTTTTTGCCATGGAGGCCACTTCCTTTTTCTATCAATCGTTCTTCGCATGTAGTTAAAAGTACCTTGGAAACAGGGTTAATCGAATTACTTTAATTTTTTTCAAGTGCTCGGAAGCTGCCCTGCTGGATGGGAGAAGTTTGACAAGCACTGTTACCTTTTCCGAGACAGCGATTTGCAGCCCTGGACAGCAGCAAGACTCAAATGTTTAAATCAGGGAGGAAACCTTGTGAGCATTACATCAAGGCAGGAACAAGACTTCATCACTTACCACTATCGACGGAATTCCGCTGGAAAAATCTGGATTGGTAAATATCCATTTATTGACACCACGCCATAAATTAAGAAAAAAATATGTAAATAGACTCTCACGCAACTTGTAAAATATATTGTAGTGCCGGCTCACACGATACAATGTTTGCCTAGGATCATTGCAATTCGATATCTTCATGGTACACTTGTCATATGAATCGTGTCGTCAAAACTATGTCTGAAAAAGCCTGTTGCGGTGATTCCTTCCTTTTTTTTTTTTGTGGACGATCCATTTAGTGCGAGATTCATGGTAATCAGAATCTCATTTAGTTGGAAGTCTTCATAAGACTAACTTATTGAGTTTTATTACTGTTCAGGTTTAAATGATCGGTCGCTGGAGAGAGGATTCGAATGGAGTGATGGTAGCCCTGTGGCTTATCTTAACTGGTTACCCGGTGAGCCAAATGATAACACCGCTATGGAGAATTGTATTGAAATGTGGCCACCCAGTCGAGGATGGAATGATCAGTCATGTGCTGATAGACGAGGCTACATCTGCAAACAGCCTTTAGGTATATATATATATATTGAGTATTCTTTTTCCTTTTTGCTTCGTAGTCTCATTAAACCCGTTGCTCTCTGATGCAGTTTCACACATGAAATGAATCAAGAGAATCGCTTTTCCCCGCTCGATGCGAAATAGAGATAAACATCCCTTCCTTCACCTTAATTAGTGTTCCTGTCACGCTCCTATCTTAAGTTACCCTGAGCCAGTAGTTCCCACTCAATACAGAGAGATTGAGTATTGATTTTACGTCAGGCACTTTTAGACGACCTCCGCCTAATTTTTGTCAAGAAGGAAACACACCTGTTTTTTCAACCCCCGTATAGTTCCATGAAATTACTGCTGAGCGGTCAACTAGTATGTATGGCGGTTTTCGTCGTGCGAGATTGTAGCGCAACGTTCTTATTGAAAACACTTTCTGTTGTTTATTCTCTCTATTGTCTGGGTGTCATAAACGGAGCAACCCACTCTGTGGTGGTTTTGCTTTACGAACGATTCCCATGGGCGAAACAAATAGTTGTCGCAATTCAGATTATAGCCAGCTCCACTGGGAGTTCAAAGTGATCACGTAATAAGATAAATTAGTAATTCGTGTTCAGTGTTTGTCCTTAACATCGCCCGCCTAGATTAGCTCGCTCTTTGCAGGCGGTGTTTATTGTAAGTAATTGTTTTGGAAGACCTAATAAACTTAAAACTTGAAAAAAAAAAAACAAAAAAAAAAAACTTCCAGCAAGCGGAAAGAATTGAACAATAAAGTATACCACTCCTCATTTTGAAAATGTGAGGAAAGTTTCCTTTAAAGATACTTTTGCATCTATTCAAGATTAAAAATTTACGTATAGGGAATCAGTTTTAAATTTTACGTTTAGAGGCGGCGTTGTGCTAAATCTACCTCTTATTTACCGGCAGAGTGTTCTGCAGCTCTAGGCATGAGAAGTGGTGCCATCAGCGAAAGCCAGATCACGGCTAGTTCCATGTTGACCCCATATGGTCCAGCTATGGCCCGGCTTAACTCTTTAGCTGCCTGGTGTGCCAAGAATGGACAGTCTGGGCACTACATCCAGGTGCGATACGTTTTCTTTTTAAACGTGACATTTGAAATGGTTTAAAAAATATAATTGGAAGTAAATAATGGTGGCACTATTAACCAAAACGTACCATGGGCGCTGAGACATCGTAGCCACGGGTCATTGAATTTCAAGGTCAGCCAAAACCTTATAGTGTTGATGGGTCGGGGGCATTAAACCATAGCACCCTAACTCGTCTACTCTCCTGCCTTCAGCTTTGCACTGAAACCTTTCAGGTGCCCTTTGTGGTTTCACTGTATTCATCAAAATTTTTGACGTTATTCATATGATCATTAAGAGTTTCAAAAATAGTAAATTTGGATCAATGTGTTAAATGCAGGAGCAAAGGAACCGTATGATGTGAATGTAGCTTAAAGTTATTTAGACTTACCAAACAACAATGTGTGCTATCTCTTTTCTTCTAGGTTGATCTGCTTACAGAAACCCGCCTGACCAAAATTGCTCTTAAAGGCTTCACTCTGGATGGACTACCCAGCTTTGTAAAGACGTTTACATTACAAACAAGCGATGATGGTGTTAATTATAAGATATACCAGAGGAATGGTAGAGATGTGGTAAGGAGGTGTTACAGTAATACTTATTGATTCTTCTATTTTTTCTGTGCTACACAAGTGAAGAAGATGTAGCACCCTGTAGCACCAGAGAACCTGGTGATTTTTGGCTATATGGACAAAATTGATTTTAAAGACAGGACATGTTTTATCAATTTTTTTCTGAGGAGAGATGCGCCCGATATAAAAGCCGGTACACACGAGGGAGCTTGCTCCCGCAGCACGCTCCTGCATTTCGCTCTCGGAGCAAAGCTCCCTCGTCTGCACCAACGACTTCTTGCGAAAAAATATGTTGCGTAACAAAACTTTTGCTCCCGAGTTTTGCTCCCTCATATCAAACTGGTTTGATATGAGGGAGCAAGCTCCAGGGGCAAATCTGTTGCACGAGTCTGTCGCAGGCGCAAGCTCCCTGGTGTGTGTACTGAAATTTGGGTTGTTTCAAAAAAAAAAAAAAATTGGGTTGTTTCATCATTCAGCTCCCGCGTCGTGTCCCTCGTGTGTACTGGTTGGGGTATTTACCCGGGAGCGTGTTGCAGGAGCGTGCTGCGGGAGCAAACTCCCTCTTGTGAACCGGCCTTAAAGCCAAGATCTGCCCCATTGTCCCAACCAAGATCGTAAGAATCTCAGAGTAACGTAAGCAACGCATTGAAGGGTCCGGCAGAGAGGGGTGTATCATTTTGTAGTTGATCTTTGCAAACGCACGAAATGTTCATCGGATTTTTATTGAGGGCTTGGTAATATTTACCCGCGCGGACTGCGTGTTATATGGCTGAGAATCTTTTGTCTTGCAGGAGTTTGCTGCAAACCGTGACGCCAATTCTGTGGTCACAATATCTGTGAAACCAACAGTAGATACACGCTTGATAAGAATAGTACCAAGCTCTTGGACTGGCTCTCTGTGTATGCAGATGGAACTTTATGGCTGTCCGTTTGGTATGATTAAATCAAAATAGGTTTTACTCAGTTAGAACCCAGATTTTAAGTAGAATCAAAGATTATTAATGGCACGAGAAGTGGTGAAATAGTCATACATGGCAAAGAAGAATAAACATGTACATGTAAACAAATAAACGAGTCGAACAAATAAGTCAGACTTTGCGTAAAAGCACGGTAGGATAAGGCAATATTCTTGTTTCGGAATTAAATTCGCGTTCTCTTGATTACGTATATTTGCAGCTTGTCAAACCCCTCTTGGAATGCAGTCTGGCTCCCTCCCAGATCACTTTCTTTCAGCCTCATCGACCAGAGACAGCTCTCACGAGGCTGCCAATGCTCGCCCATCTCGTGCTGTTGGGTGGTGTGCAAATGTAAGCTCATTCTTTCTTACCCTTTTCTACTCTAGCCGCAGAGTTGGATGTAAGCCTTTTTCTACAAGGCCTTACTAAGCCAAGTCTTGCTTACGTGATCAGTCTTAAAGGCCAGGTTTTGACCCAGTGGATAGTTCTTATAATTGTGTACTTTTTGAGTTCTCATGATTCTGTTCTTCAAGAATGTGGTAAGGTTGTGTTTCTGATGTGCGAAAGAATCAGGATGTCTCTCCTTCTTTCTCCGCAAACTTACAATACCTAAACACACAGCGGCATATCTTTTTTTTTCGGTGTTTTAAATTTGTGCAGTTTGTGGGAATAACTAAGCCTATAGCCTTTTTCAGGACTTGTTTATTTTCCTTTGCAGGTTTCGGATAAAAATCCTTGGTTTCAGATTACTTTCCCAGGCTGGGAAAGGAAGATTTCCAAAATAACCACGTGGGGAGGAGGCAAGGGTTCTGGGTTTGTCAAGGTGTACAGTCTGTCGTCCACACGCACGGTCGACGTAGACCCTATGGTTTGGTCAGACTACCAGGAAGGCGGGAAAACCAGGGTCAGACTGTTATGACTTATGTTGTTAAAAAAATTAAAAAAAGACGGTTGTCAATTGTCAATTAATGTCAGTGAACCGGCAATCGGTTGAATCAGTCTTTACAACGAATACATAGAAAAGAGAAACCAAATTGACTTATCATCCATCAGAAAGTTTCTTCTATGTGTTAAATTATTAGCTGAGAACTGAGAAAATGTTTGGAAGAAGGATAACAAGTATCGTTAAAACTGTGTTACGTGGGTGATATTGATTTCACTATGTTCTGGTATCACAGTATTTCCGAGGGAACCAAGATGCTGTCAATCCAGTGTCACACCTCCTGGCAGAACCAATCATAGCCAAAGCCTTGCGCATAAATATAGCGGAGCAGGGTTGGTCCTCGATTGGGGCTTGTCTACGCCTTGAAGTCTTTGGATGTGAGAAAGGTGAGTTTTCTCTCTCAAAAATGGGTCTGACTTTTTTTTAGACGCATCTCTTTGATAGCGATGACTTGCTAATGACTCTGAAGAGCTGAGCAAGAAATCCCAACCTTCGTTTAGTATAGAGGGTACTCATTCAATATCCCGTAGAAAAATTAAAAGTTTCAACCCCAAGTGGTCCCTTAGAGACTTCCCACTATGAATCAAACGGTCTCTTTGGAGTGAAGGTCACTGAACCAGGCGATGGGTTACAGCGAAGGTTCCCTGCAACAGAACCTTCTGTGTTTATGTTTATCAAACGAGTCACCGCATCTCTTTTTTTTCCCTTTGTGCTGCGATCATATACACGAATTCCACCGATTCAAGTTTGTGACACTTCTTTCGTTACAAATTTCTGGTACAAGAACGACGCTTTTCCCAAAAAAAATGTTTCTTGCCTCTCGAATCAAATTGTCGCATACAATCACTTGCCTACCCCCCTTCTTCCCCCTCCCCCCCACAAAGGCCCTTGGCCACGTTGTCAGTATGGCCACTGGGCTCTTCCAGGTTGTAGAGACTAGGTCCGACCTTTCTTGTTGAACTCTTCTTATTTTCTAGGATGCAACTCTGCCCTCGGTCTAAGACAAGGGATTGTCAAAGACTCGGCTTTATCAGCGAGTTCATCATTAGACGAGGCTCACTTGGCCAGTAAGGGTCGTTTAAATGGAAGCGCAGGATGGTGTGCATCTGAAAATGATAAACAGAGCTACTTTGTGGTAGGTAGAAGACATTCAATACGAATAATGACAAAGGTATTCCTTTAGGTAATCCAGAACACGAAATCGCATAATTTAATCCTATGCCATGAACCTTTCTGAATGAGAACTGCGTTTAGATAATTGTCAAATGTTTTCTACTAGTTATGTATCTGCAAGGAACTGAAACTTTGTGATTGGTCAAGAAAATCCCCATACCCAGAGCAGGAATACGGCTATATAAGCATTAATTCCTCATGATAATTATTTACCAAAGTAGAGATAAATATTCAGCAGTCTTACTACCCTGGTCCCAAAGGTTCTCTACTCTCTAAAAAAAAAAAAAAATAGGATAAATCTCCTCTCCCCAAAGAAATCGGCGCCAAGCGCCGACAACGAGCTGCAAAGCAGCGAGCAGTCGAGAGAACCTCTGGTGAAGACCGTTGAGAACCTCACTTTAGTGCATTCAGCTGATGATCGTCGCGATCTGATTGGCTATTATTGTTTTTTTGTTTGATACTGACGTTTCCTATTGGCTGTTGAAAAGTGATAGATTTGATCAGCTCTCAAAACAGCTGAATGCACCAAAGTGAGGTTCTCAACGGTCTCCACCAGAGGTTCTCTCGAGCTTCGCAGCTCGTTGTCGGCGCTTGGCGCCGATATTTTTAGGGAGAAGAGATTTATCCTATTTTTTTTTTTTTAGAGAGAGGAGAACCTTTGGGACCAGGGTACAGTCTTACCAACACTGAGGAGAATGACTGTTTTAGTGTATACCTCACAAAAACAAAAAAATTTTAGTCTATTGCTGTAAATAAATTAAAAAATGGTCGGACATTAAATTTTTGTCGCTCGATGTTGTCTGTTCGGCTGCACGAAGGTGAATAGTACCTGCTAATCACTTCTGAGCAAGCCAATCAGCGCGCGCGAAAAGCACTATTCACCTCTGTGGTATATACTAATATGTTAACCGATAATTGCCAGTTCACGTTTCCACCGATTGATCCTTAATCTTCTATAGAATATGCTCCACACCAAGAGAATTTTCCTCACATTCTTTCTTATTGTTTTCAAATGTCTACCAATTCTTATTTGTTGTCTCGTTTTTCATTTCAAGGTTGACTTCGGAGTTTCGATGGAGGTAAACACCATAGCTATACAAGGAGCTAAAGATGGTAAGGGGTACATCAAAAGCTACAATGTGAGTACGAAAGACTATGCTGACGGACCATGGACTCAATACAGACAGAACGATAAAACTAAGGTGGGTATTGTGATGTAAGTATCAGGGCTCGACACGAACGGTAGCCAGCTAGCCACAGACCAGTAGAAATTCAGTTTTGGCTAGTGGTTTTCGATTTCCATCAGCCAGTTTGGCTATTAAACAAACTGAAATTGTTGTATCATCTAAGTTGTCACCAGCCACTTGGCTAGTAAGTTGAAAAGTTAGTGTCGAGCCCTGAGTAAGCGCCTTGATATGAATTTTAAGTCATACCCATGATTTTTTTTTTTAAAGAAATATAGAGTGTTCCGCAACCACTTAGGTAAGTGTATTGCACAATGTTACGACGGAAATAGTTGTAAAAATCATAACCTGATCGTTCTTCAGTTAGAGACAAAAATATAACTGTAAAGACTGAAGTACGATACTGGACCAACACCAAACGCAAGAGGGAAGATGCCTCTATACCAGTGTCAGATACTTGTCTTTGCCATTTTCCTTTGCCGTTCTTTTCGTTGATATTGTCGGTTCAGACGGGAAGTTTATATTGCACAATATTTCAGGTCTTCTTGGCAAACGTGGATTTCTCATCAGTAATGAAGAACTCGTTCCCTTCTGGTCTGCGGGGAAGGTATTTCAGGATAGAGCCGAATACGTGGAGTGTTCGACCGTGTCTCCGGTTAGAACTGTATGGCTGTAAGAGTGGTAGGTACAACTGAATAACTATGGTTATCCCTTTGCCATCTCCGATTACTATAAAGTTGCAAACAACATAGACAATGGTAGATAAATTTGTTCAAAATCCCAAAATGATGGTGAACAAGGCGCAGAGGAGGAGCAAACCTGTTCATTTTAAAAGTAAATCCAATTGATTTGCAAAGTTGAAGATTTGAGCCTCGTATTTTTTTTTTCTTTTTAAATTCTAACGGCCTCGAAGACTCTCGGTTACTTACCCGTTTTCCCCCACCAGTAGTTAGTAGCAACCAACGTCTAAATTATTACATTTACCAACATTCAGCTACGTCTGTGAGAAGCAAACATTCTCGCTGGTTTGTTTTGTCTGGGTCTTTGCTCCTCTTTCTAATCCTCAATACGATACTTAATAGTTTAACTTTTTTCGTGCCATCGTGTGACTACATTGTCTCTTGCCCCATGTCCCATGTCCCCCATGTCCCATGTCCCCCATGTCCCATGTCCCCCATGTCCCCCATGTCCCATGTCCCATGTCCCCCATGTCCCATGTCCCATGTCCCATGTCCCATGTCCCAAACGAGAGTTTGAATGGACACCTATATTCACGTGACTGATTGAAGGTTCGTAAGTCCATCAACATCGCCTTAGGGCGAGATGGGATAAACAACTTCTAAGATCAAACAGTTTGGCAGTGAAGTGTTATTTCAGAAAGTTTCCCATAGATACGTATCACTAACATGGCTGTTGTGAAAGCCAAAACTTGTTGTTGCCGTGGATATTTTATGCGTGTGTGCATCATCGTCAAGAGAAGCTGTTGCCTTCTAGTAAGGTCGCTGAACTCCTCGCGGTCGGGGTGGATCACTGTGTTCTTTCGCCAAGGCCTTCTCGATGCCCTTTTCCAATCTTAAGTATATCTGGGTAAAATTTAAATGTCAAGGGGAAATATATGTTGGCATTCTATTCAGTTGTTGTTTCTTTTTACAACATCAACTGAAATGAGGTACGACTAGTATCTTTTGTCCCGCATTAGTATCACCATCTTTGTTTCCACTAAATACGACTGTTGCGCAAGAGTCTTAGATAAGTCGAAAATGTCTTTGACGATGCGATAAGAGTTGATTGACCGCATTCTGTTTTGTTTGTTCAATTTCAGATGTGCGACCAACTATGTTTCCATCAGTGAGCACAACACCACCAGCAGGTACAACACTCTCTTGACGTCTGTCTCCTGAAAATGTGCAAAGGATTTCAAAATGGATGTGTCTAGTTTGCTTTCTCTATAGTATGTTACATTCAAAATCTTTGTTGGTAGTTTTCGTGAGTCGTCAAAAATAGTGAAAATTACCGTCGAAATCTTATGAAGAATTATTGTGCACACTGAATATCTTTAGAATCACTTGAAGAGTCATCGTTTGCACAAAACATCATTAATAAAATCATGAGTTAAAGTGATATCGTTCCATTTGTCCTTCGATCTCTGTAAGCACTGTGAATTCAAAGGTCGGATTTTTAGAGTTAGTTTAAGGTTAGAACTAACGCGGACTTTCTAAGTCAAAGACTTAAGACAAGTTAAACATCTCAGGGCTCGACACTAACTTTTCAACTTACTAGCCAAGTGGCTAGTGTCATCTTAGATGCTTTTAGATGTTACAACAATTTCAGTTTGTTTACTTGCCAAACTGGCTAGTGGAAATTAAAAACCACTAGCCAAACCTGAATTTGTACTAGTCTGTGGCTAGTGGGCTACCGTTAGTGTCGAGCCCTGCTTCTATTGTGCTGATGATCTCAAGACTACAGCATTATTTCTTTTTCAGTTATAACGTATAAAGGCTCTGTAACTTTCTCTAACGAGACATGGTCTGATGACCTCAAGAACTCTGGAAGCATAGCATTCAAGACTCTCGCAAGAAAGATAGAAAAATCGGTACAAACTATTTTTGCTAGTTTTTATCCATTGCTTTCAATGTTCATTTGATAATAGATATCTTTTTTTTTTTTGTCCTGATAGACCAATCAGCTGAACCCAGGGGGAACAGCTGTGTAAACCAGGGATTAGCAATATAGTTATAAAATGTATACCTGAAAAAAAAAATCTACATCTTAATAACAGAAGAATAGAAAAATCGTATCTATGTGGATAAAAATAATTATGTATAATGTGAAAAAAATATGTACACACCAATGGAAGTATGATTATGCTGCTTAAACACGAAGGCGCGCTATGAAAGGAGCGTTAGGTCCCACTGGACCATTTGTCAATCAACCATCGTGTGATGTAGAACTCATAGAGTGAAGTCAGCTTGAGCTACATCTACTCCAAAGCAGTGAACGGCGGGCGCATTCCTCAAAATTGTTTTATGTCTTCATCACAATACAAGAATTTTTGAGATTTGTATTTCCTTTCTCCAGTGGAAACTGTCTTTATTTGTGGCGGTAAATTTGAGATAGAAGTAGGTGGTTCGCACGTTACCTCATTGCCACCATGCTGGTGGAAGTAAACAATAGATATCTCATTAGCTCCCTTTGTTCGTCTACCAGCATTTAAATTTGACCCGCACACGTCAACGGTGAGTGACAAATGAGCCTAGGTCTTCCCAGGGAAGACTTCCTTATATAGCGCGCCTTCGTAAGATGTAATATAACCTGGATAATATCGAGATAGAGCCATAAGCAGGATGGAAGCTTTGTAAGATGATAAAACAGGGATTAAAAGAAGACGAAGAAAAAGAAGAAGAAGAAGAAGAAG